GACTGACGGAGAGGGAGATGCATGAGAAGAGGGCAAAGGGACTATGCTTCATATGTGATGAGAAATATACTCCAGGGCACAAGTGTAGGGATCAAAATCTTTAGGTTCTGACCATCTGTGATGATGAGGAAATTGAGGATGGAGGTGAGAGTATGTGTGTGTGTGTGTGTGAGAGAGAGAGAGAGAGAGAGAGAGAGAGAGAGAGAGAGAGGGCAAGCTGCATCTGGACGCGATGGAGGTCTCCTTGAATTCATTATTGGGATTCACACTGAATCATACCATGAAAGTGAAAGGGGAAATAGCAGACAGAGAGATGGTGGTATTGATTGACAGTGAGGCTACTCATTATTTCATCTCCAACCAGATCGTAGACCAATTAGGGGTGAAATTGGTGGATACAGGATGTTATGGAGTGGTTTAAAATTGCGCAATATGAGGCTCGCCTTGAGGCCAGCCTTTACGCAATTCCAATAAAAAACGCCTCGATGCTTATGCCTCGAGTTTTTTTTTATGAGGCTTGCGCCTCAACTTGGTTGAGGCCCGCCTCGCCTCACTGGCATGAGGCTTACGCCTCACGCTATATATATTAAAACTTACATAAATTTTGAAGTAAATGCCCGACATTGGACTCTATAGGAGAGGAGGAAGGGGAGAGAGTAGTTCATCATAATGATGATTCAAATGAAGAACCCCTTAGTGATGACAGTGCTGATGACTTATGAGTTCTTATGTGATATGTCATTGATATTTATTTTTGGAAATTGAAATTATATTTTAATGAAAATAAGACTGAGATTTGAGAAAGACAAAATTTTGAGTTGAACTATATTTCATGTTGTCTTATTATTAGGATATTTTGATTTCACTTCATATCTTATGCTTTTTTATGTTTTATATTATTCATTCATTAGTATATAAAAAAATTATCATTTTATATTTACGCAATCTTTTAATTTTGAGGCTTACACCTCAAAACGCCTTGAGGCTTACGCCTCGCCTCACGAATGAAAAACGCCTCAATACCCGAATACGCAATTTTAAACATTGATGATGGGTACAGTGAAGGTGGAGACGGGTCAGGGGATATGTAGGGGAGTAGTGTTGACCATGCAAGGGGTTTATGTGAGGGATGATTTTCTCCCATTAGAGTTATTGAGCACTGATGTCATCCGGGGGATGAAGTGGTTGCAGACCTTGGGGGACACTAAGATCAACTAACGATGGAGCTGATGGTGGAAGGGAGAGGGTAATGATCAGGAGAGATGCAGGGCTCACCAAAGCCATGATATCACTTAATACCAAGGTAATGAGCATACAAGAGGTGGGGGAAAGTTATCTGATGAAACTACATAGGCTGGAGGGGATCAGATTGGAGGAGGGCGGGAACATTCCTCATTTAGTAAAACCATTGATTCAGCAATTCAGTGAGATTTTTCAGCTGCCTCAAGGGTTGCCATGGGGGAAGGTTAGGGAGATGCTAGAAGCAAGGATCATTCAACCTAATGTCAGTCCATTTTTCAGTCCAGTGGCATTAGTGAAGTGCTTCAACAACTTTTCGTTTGTTCCACCTTGAGGACAAGGTGACACTTTGGGAGGAAAGTATTGTTAGACCAGTAGTGGATCGGTCCAGATGGACCGGCTCATGCGTAATAGAGGCGGAAGTGTTCTTCCTCTCTTGTATGCGCCAATTGCACCGCCCAGACCGGGAGAGCAGTTAGGAAGGATTTTTGAGGAAGTTAGTAGGGAAATTTGAATGTAGGGACTGTTTAGGGATTTCTTTTTTGGGTGGGTTGCATTAAATAGTTTGTTTTCCTATGATTAGGGCATATGGAATTTGGCTGAAATTTAGATCTCTTAGGTTTAGGTTTCCTCCGAGCTCTAGTGGCGTCTAGAGAATAGGGAGAGATCAATCCTCCTCTCGAATTGAGGATGACTTGTATCTTGTTTGTTTTTCTTCCGTTAGTTGATTTTTTATCAATAAAGTGATCTATTTTTTCTTTGATTTTTCCTCTATTGTTGAGTATTCTCGTTGATTTTGTCAAGATCTTTAGGTTTCAGTTGAGATCTTCAAGTGTTTCCTATCATATTCTTGCTCTCTAATCTTAGGAATATTGAAGAGAGATGTAAAGAATAACCAATTCATTGATCACAAATCCTCTATTCAGGGTAACATTAAGAAACTATTAATGAAATTATCATAAAAATTCATTCCAATATCTTTAGAGATTTTAAGAATTATAAGCCAACTCAAGCTTATTATTAACTAGGTATTTAGTGATATAAAACCAAAACTGAAAAGCGGCCCTCCAAAACTTAGCGATGAAAGCACCACAAAAATTAAAATGATGGTTATACTTTCTCATGAAGTAAGAATAAAATAATAGTTTTTAATCCTTGCTCAGAAATCCTTTGCGGCATTGCAGAAAGATCAAACAAAGGATTGAATCCCTCACTATTCAGCTATAAGTTTAGATTCATCCTAGCAATTCATGAAACCAAGAAGAAAGCAAAGTCACCTACGGTTAATTAAATTGAATCAAATATTAGAAGTTTTTTTTTTAATAATTTGCACTAGCAATTTTTTTTACTTCTAAATACCTGCTTTTAATGCTAACAAAGTTTGGTTTCTTGTGTAGCCTTATATGTAGCTTTACTAGCCTTTTCTCTTTGCTTGCTTTAAAATAAAATGTGAGACTAAAACAAGAGAAGGGAGAGTGATCCAATGGCTAGGCATCACCGAGCGTTAGAAAGGAGGCCAAACCTAAAAGCAGGAGTTGGTGAAATCGAGAGGTTTCAAACCTCATCGTCTGTGATCATCGGTGAAATCCAGTAGGAAGACTTGCAAGATAAATTCAAGGGAGGGAGAGAGAGAGAGAGAGAGAGAGAGAGAGAGAGATAAGGTTCTTATGCTTCATTGTCTCAAATTGGAGCTTCTTGCATGCCACGACGACGGCGAAACTGATCTAAGGCATCAGTTGGGTTGGCGTTTTTGCAAGAAATTGAGTAAGAAGAAAGGATCTAGAGCTACATCAAGGTTGAGGTATATCAGAGAACTATTCTTTCTTCCTTATAATAAGATCATATTCAAGATTATCAGGTGATATTGTTTCTTTTTTTGTTTATATATTTCATTACCTTCATTCATGATAGTTTTTGATCTATATGGTAAATGCTATGATGTAAACTTTAATAAAAAGTATAGCCCCTCTCTTTCTCCCTGTGGATGCAGGCACAAATGTGCTGAACCACATAAATCTCTTGTGTTTGTGTTTCTTTCGCTGCATTTCTCATTCTCTTTCTTTATAGGTTTGCTGCAAGTTTATAGATTAGTTTTTGGTTAATCTTTGAATCTAGGTTTGCTAGTTAAAAGATTTGCAAAGAGATTTTAATAGTTAGCAAGAACCTGTTATTGCTCATTGTAGATTATTTGGCGCAAATTATTTAGCTAATTAATTAGTTTGCTGTTTTAAATTATCATTAAAAATTTTCTTAGGTTTCTTTAAAGATATCATAATATTGAACTAAACTATATCATTTGTTTTAAACTGAAGAATAATATTTTGTTGACAATAATTTTTTGCTTTTAGGTCTTTTATATAAGTGGTTTGTGAATGCGTATTTATAACCTTAAAATAACAGGTTCTTCTACGTGATCCAAACCTTTAGTTGAATTTCTTAGTTTGATGCATTTGGAAAGATCCTGTATCAGTCAGGATGTTATTCATAACACCTACATTGGCAGATCTTTACAAAATTGAAAATGAACCTTGCTTAGCATAGTATCAAATTTTTGTTTGGCAGGGTAAGAGACTAAGGGTGGATGAGGCAAAACAATCAAATTAACTTAGAAAGAATACTAGAGTATCCAATAAAGCAATTTAATATGGCCAGTTTATAATCCCATGTGACAAAGAAAGAAATTTTGTTTGTGTACAATTCTAAACATATCAATGATACCACCCTTATCTTGAATATTATTGATATACGGCTCCAAAGTAGTAATTTTTCCAAAAATGATGTCTTCGTTTATATTAATTTAATAAAAACACAACTCAGAAGTCATAAGCTTGTCTTAATTATGAAATCAACCCTCACCAAAAGACAGTTTGGCCGGGAAAATTTTCCTAAAGATCAAAACAAACACCATAAGCGCAATTAGATAGGTAGGGATATGTCAACTTAAGAGCTTCCGGGACACAAACTCTACCATAATCCAATTATTCACTAAGCTGGGTCAACAGGTTCAAGTGCAAATCCTATCATCTGATTAGGTTAGTTATCACATCAAATGTTAAAGTCTTATAATAAGAGTTGAATAAGTGGCATATTATTTTAAAAGCATGGATTAAAACAAAAGACCTTGTCACCTTCAAGAAGGATCAAGTGGGCAATTTCATATGATTACTGTTGGACATGCCATCGCTTGAAATGCCGAAATGGAAAACAGCTATTGTATCCAGCCGATGAGGTCCACCAATCAGGTGGACAAGGATCTGATCCTGTCATTTTTAACATGGAGAGGCGAGGGATCACCCGCACCATTTGGCTGAAGACCTTTCTTTCAAATATAACCCAGTAAACCCAAAAAATAGTTATTTTCTAATCTATGTCAATCCTTAGTCCTTACAGCACATAATCTAGAAATAATCTGGCATAACTCGCCCTTCCTCAATCATTGTTAGAGCCTACGCTAGAAAAAGGAGTTCCGTACGCTTCATCAATCACAGACAATCTAACCATCCATGGCACCATACCCCACCCTTTCACTTTAATTGTACAAGCACAGGCACACGCAGAACAGAACGACCATAACAAAGAGAAATAAGATCGCTATCAAAGATCAGTCAAATACATAGACATTAAAGTCAGTTGGCGCAGTACATTTTTTAACCAAAACAAGAAGAAATTAATTCTTTTTTATGTTTTGGGTAATGTGAGGGAGAAACTAATTCTACTCACTAGAAAGAAACAAAAACAGATCAGTGCAACAGAGCACTCACCAAAGAGGATCGGCGAGCTCTTAGAAGCCGAGAGGAGGGACCTCACAGCCCTCGAAGCCGACCTGCAGATCTGGTAGCTCATCTTCGAATCAAATCAGCGGCGCAGAAACTGGGACTTTGGGAGACTGGTGCGCACTTTGACTTCGGTTGTGGCTGGTTTTATAGTTGGCGTAGGGTTTTGTGGATCGGGTACCTCGTGAGGGCCACGGAAGGGATAGAAGTATTTTCGCGTATTTACCCTCGTATGTCAACGGAAACTACGAGGTCGTAAGCGTGCGTGTGGAAGAAATTTAGGGGCATTGAAGTCAGTTAATGACCGGCCAGCAAGGAATCGATCCCGGAGGTGCAGGGGCCGAGGTTCCACTATAGAAGCGTGCTTATGGAGGATAGGCATAGCTCCGGGAGGTTGGCAAAGTATACTCCCGTAGTCATTGATGAGGAGAAACGTTTAGGTAATTAAATGTGGATTATTAGAGTTTATTCATTATACATTTAATTAGGTGGATTTTAATCATTTTATTATACAGTATTTAAAATTATATTATTTATATACTTAATATATATTTTGTATTATTTATATAAACATAGCACTCAAAATATTTAAATAAAAATTAAAATAAAATCATCCATTTCAATTCATCACAACCTCTCATCATCATGCATGCTAGTGCTATCGGTCTTCACCAAGGAAATCACGTCATCCTTCGCTCATCGATCACATTGCCCCGTCATAAACCTAAATTCTACTATTACACTGTTAGTTTCGTTGCCATTTATACGTCAGTGATTGACTATTGTATTTATGGTGTTATGCGGGTTTGTGTGAAGTATTGGAGAAAGGGGTGAGAGTAGTGATCTCCTTTATATTTTAAAATTTTTTAATATATTTATAAACCCTATTTAATTACAAAAATGCTAACCCTCTAAACTTAATCTCTTCTTATTTGAAATATTTGTCCCACCATAGGGCCTCTATCATAGCTCCTCCATTATAATTTCTCCTTCCTCGTTTTCAATTTGTCTCTTTGGTTATTTTATGGCTCCATCTTCAATATTGTATCATCTAGTTTAAGATGTTGGCATATATCCCTACTCGTGAAATTCTCCATCCAATGTGCCGCCAATCTTTGTGGCAAGTCCCTATAATCGGCTGCAACCTAATCTCTTCACAAGTTTATCTCATTAGGCTCTTTAAAGCTTCATATTAACTCCATGAGCCAAATGTTTTCTCATACCCAAATAGTATTTTATGTGTTGGCTCTTTAAACCTTAATTTCTTTCCTCTAATCTCCACATCCAGTTGGAGCCTTGATACCTTTAAGAAATAAAAGGCTCATTTCTATTCAACTCTTTTGATCAATAATTTTGTCGATCAATTTTATTCTATATCCTTCATAGCTATTGTATAGCTCATATTTTGATCAAGTCAAAAAATATTTCAGGAGATATTATAAGTTTACTTTATAAATTATCTTTGTCAAAATATAAATAGTATTGTGCTTTAATTATATTAATTTTCTCTTAATAATTTGGATAGTATAGATATGAAAATAATAAGTATTGAAATTTCTTAAGAAATTGATATGTATCTGTATAGGTGGGTTGTCTGGGACCGTTACACTACAGGAAAACCAACTATTACCGGCGGATTATATCCGCTGGTAACACCCAAAATCCGCCAGTAGTCCTGAGTTTCCGGCGCATTTACGGCGAATTTTCGTGCGTCGGTTTGGTTCGCGTAGGAAAAAACTTTTCGGAGTTTTATGAGACGCCGGAAAATGTTCTAACGCACTCTCCGGCGCATTATTGGCGCAAAAAATGCTGGCCAAGCCGGCGATTTTCAATCGGACATTCCGGTGACAACTGTAACATCAATTTTTGCTCCAGGTTCGTCCGGACGAAGTTGGATCGTCCGGGACGATCGGTATAGGTTGTTCAATGAAAACATTTTTGGCTGCATGGTTCGTCGGGACGAAAGTTGGTTCGTCTGGACGAAAATTCTCCCGAGGACAAGTCGCCGGGGACGTTAATTAATCTCGTCTGGACGAAATTCGTCCAAAGCCACTTTGTCCCGGGACGATCAGTCTGGATATATATAGAAATGAGATATTTTGAAGAGAGAGAAAAGCCCATGAGAGAGAAAAACGAAGGACGTCCCGGTCGGGTTGGGTCGTGACAACAACTGCGCCGGAAGTTTACGTCGTATCAATCCTCCGGAAATTTCCGGCGTACAAAACATCGTAGATGTGCGCCGTAAATAAGCTACGACTAGTTTACGGCGCATATTGGACGTCGGAAACCGCCGGCGGACAGGACGCCGTAAACTGTGCCAATAATTTCCGGCGTCCAAATAAACGACGGCATGATCGTAATGATTCATTGTATTGTCATTTCCGTCGAATTGCAGATGCAAAATCCACCGGAAACCTGTAGTATTGACAAAAAAAATTCCTTCCAGACTAACAATTGCATTTCCACACCTGCAAACATATACAAAACCACTTCCAGATAACAGCTATACACATAACAGATATAACAGAAGACAGCTATACACATAACAATCGAATTGCCGACACAAAATCCGCCAACAAATGATCCGCCGGAAATTTCGATGGTAATCGCGTGTTTTCCCGTAGTGTTAGGTGTATGTTATGCAAACTGAATTTACTAGTCTTCTAGACATACTAAGTTATTTTATCAATATTTTTTCATAATTTTTGAATCTTTGAATTTGAAGATATAAAAAAATTTATAGATACTTTATGCAAAAAAAAAGAATAATTTGCATAATTATATTTATATCCAAAGATTATTTTATTCTAAATATCTATTTTCATTAACATAAATTTACATAAGCTATATCTTATTTCTCATTTAGTTTAACAGAGAGCAGAATAGAGAATTTGAGAAGAAAAGAGATGAGAGAGGAGAGAGAGGAGGGTTTGAAGGTCATAGAACAATTTTTGTAAGTCGGTCAAGTTAGAAAATTTGTTTGTCTCAAGGTAGGCTACAAGGTAGACTATCTTTATCCTACCTCTAATTTTAATGATTTTATATATTTTGTGTTTTATGAATTTTAATTTGATCAAAACTCACAAAAGTTGCAAAATCTTGATTTTTAGCAATTTTTCAGCATATAATTTTTAGTATGTTATAATTTTATTCATTATGCACACATACTGACAGTAATATATTAAATTTTCACAAGATATCTTTATATTTTGTAGGAAATTTTCTAATTTTGAAATTTTATATAAATACAAAAATTAGATAAATGATTGTCAAAACCTCATAATATAAGTGTTTGATATGCATGCTTACATAATTCATCTATTATAATTACATACATGTGAAAATGAGTATACTAATTTTTCTTATGAATACTACTAGTTATGATTCATATATATATTATATATGCTAGACTGATGCTGAGCTGAAAACATATGCTATATAATTTTTTATCAAATTTCTCAACCTTCCCTTTTGTTGTTGGAACCCAATGGAGATATTCAAGATTATTTGTAAAATTTATACCCTATTAGCAAAGGATTCTATTATTGCTAATAAATCCAAATGAATTTTCGCTTGTGTTTATGTTCAAGTCTCAAACTTTAATTCTCTCTCAAACAAATTTCAACCAAAGAGTATGGAAAAAACATATTGTAAAGTTTCTTTATGACAAAAAAACGTAAAACATATGGCTTCATCACTTATTCCTCGATCCACTCTTCTTTAGCACCCAAGGAACTCCCTACCTACAACACGAGATCATGGGTAGAATTTAAAGGCTTCGTTTGGGACTGCTTTCTTACTGCTTCATAAAGCAACTTTTAAGTGCAAAAATTTTAATTTTTGTTCTAAAAAGCTGCTTTAAGAAGCAGCAATAAAGCCGTCCCAAACGAAACCAAAATCTTATGCCTAGAAGTCCATATTGCCCCTCCACTTTTGTCTCCCCTATAACTCAATCGCACCCTCCCATATAAAAGACTATCAATCAAGGACTACCATTCATTCTTACTCCTCTTACTCTTTAAATCTATGTTCCTCCTAATGATAATTTACCTAAACTTAAATCTCTATTAAATTTCTAAAAACACTACAACTAATATAGTCCAGCTATGCATTATTTAGCTATTTTACTAATATTAATTTTCACTTACCTCAATCTTCTCTTAATCCTAAAATCCAATTAGAGTCATTCATAATTGTTTGAAATGTAAGGGGCATCAATAGAATATATATATAGTGTGTAAGTGTCAAAATTTGGAGTTCTCCTCCAATCTTAACATCATATTCAATATAGAGGATAAATACATGCATATCGTTCTTCAAAATTTTAGTTTAATAATGGTCATATGATTTTTGATAATAAAGTTAGTTGTAATAATAACCCCCCTCTATAATAGTGGCACGAACTAGGTTAAATGGGATGTAATAATCCGTATTTTGACTTTGTCAATTTTTTTCTACAATCAATATAATTCCAAATCGCAATCTGCACTCACCATAGTATTTTTAATCATAGTATTTTACTTGCATGAATATTTTCGTAATTTTTGGACACCAGTGAAAATCTGTAAGGAATTGGTAGATGTCGGTACAAGTGGGGATTTCGGAACCGTCAAGTGTCCGTTTTGCAAACCGATTTCATTGATATTTTTAAAATAATATATTTTATTTTATGCATGTTTTTATGTAATTTTTAACGCCCTAAAATAATTTATTTGAATTTTATATTAAATAAATTATATAATAAAAATATTATTTTATTATAAATATCTAAAAGTCGCTTATATGACTTTGTTAAATCCCTTTTTTCCTCATTTCGGCTAACAGAGGCGTTTGAGAGAGAGAGAAAGAGAAATGAGAGGAGAGAGAAAGAAATACTTGAGATTTGAAGGTCGTTGAGCGATTTTTGTCAGTCAGGCTAGTTGGGATATTTGCTCGTCTCGCTATAGGAACATTTACCCTATTTCTGATTTTAATTATTTTGTGTTTTTAATATTTTTTTTATTAAATTTGCATTTTTGTTACAGAAAAATGTGAATAATTTTGTATTAGTAAAACTTTCACTCCGTAACTTTTTGTATGTTGTAGAGATCATAATTATGAGCATTTTTAGTATTTATTTGAGATTTTTCACCGGGTGATTTTGAAAATACACTAATTTTTGTCTACCAAAAAATTTATTTTGATGTCAAAAAATAGTGATGTAGTACAATAAAAGTCTTAAAACGTTATTTTACATAATTCATGATATTTTAATAATTTTCTGAAAATGTGCCTTTTTGCCTAATTGGATTCTTTGTTGTACACCGTTATGATATTTTGAGATCTTCTTAATTAAGCTCAATTATGCATTATTTGCTGCTATCCATTAAAAATGGATGTGGATATGTGCTTGAGTAACAACTAGTGTTATAATATTATGATAATAATATGCGTGTGTGAAACAAACAAATAAAGACTGATTGACCTGTACAAGATGGTGGGCTGACGGGCTTTCATTTAAATATTGTGGTTTGATATTATCCTCTACTAATTCACGTGATACACTAGTTAGCAGTTATAAGAAGATTATTATTGTGCCGACGGACAAAGAGTAACAACTCTATTTACTGAGCCAACAGTTTATTGACACTAATACTAACACTGAAAAACACCGTGATAGCCATGACTTCATACTTGTTTAGCATAACTACTGAAATGTGTTCGTGGGGCATTTTTCTTAATATTATATGGATTTATTTTTATTGCACGGATTTGCTATTATTGCATTATTCTACTGCTCCTATCACTGGATTGTTACTGTTACTGTATAGATACTGATATTATTTGATACTACTGATTCAATGTACTTATATTAAGCATGTGATATACTGAGCACATAATATGGAATGCATGTATAACATGTATACATTCATATATGATGTTATTACATTAATTTAATTTCAACAATCTTTACCGATGCTTTGATTTGATGCTTTATATGATTTCTGTATTGATTGGCATTATTGATATGACAATTGCTTTATAAATTTGACACTCGTACTGATTTAGTTCTTTACTGACTTTCGTACTATAATGTTTTACTTGTTAAATATTCTACTACTATTGTATATGAGTTTTACTATTTATGCATTGATTCAATGACCCTATGAATATAATTATTATGATTTGACTACTGATATGCATTTTGCTCATTTATCGTGCTTTGAATTCAGTTATATATTTTAATGACCTATTGGGCTTTTTAAGCTTATTATATGTGGTTAAATGATTTCAGGTTAAAGCATGAAAGCAGGAGTATTGTTAGCACATGCATAATGTTACACTGCAGGAACACTACACCTCACTCAACATCAACAGCCAACGACCTCGCTCAACTCCACTCCTCTGACATTCTCTACAGGCAACGACCCTGTAGCCAACGGCTCTGCTGTCAACGGCCTCTTCATGATGAGAAAATATACTCATCCCGCTTATATATACTCAAGCATTGTATTGAAATATTAAGCTGAAGAAATTAGAAAATGAGAGATCTCAGTTCTTCAACTCCTCTATTTTTACTGTTCATCTTCTTCTTTCTCTAACTGTGCAGGTTTCTTTCATGGTATCAGAGCAAGGTCGTTCTGAAGGTGCCTGAACTTGAGTTTATTCATGGCAGATCCCTCGGCAACACACTCCTCCACCGGAGCTTCGCAACCACCAGAACTCCAGCCATCAACAATGATCGAAATCTCTATCCCCACCTCCAATGGTTCCCAAGTCCACATCTCATCCTGATGACAACTTGCCATTCTTTGATCCAACGCAGTACAGACGTCTCGCTGGCTCCCTCAATTATCTTACAATAACCCGTCCAGACATTGCATTTCACCGTTAACAGCATATATCAACATATGCAAAGCCCCACCATTGCAAACTACACTGCCCTGAAGCGTCTTCTTCGCTACATCAGCGGGACGATCAACCTTGAGCTACCACTATCAGCTGGCTCATTGCAGCTCAATTGCTACTATGATGCTGACTAGGCCAGTGACTCTCTCGATCGCAAATCCATCACCGGCTTCTTCACCTTTCTCGGAACAAGCCTCATTTCCTGGTGTGTCAAGAAACAAGTCACAGTGGCTCGATCCTCCACAGAGGCGGAATACCGTGCGCTTGCTTCCGCCACCTCCAACGTCATCTGGCTCCATCGTCTACTTAAGGACTTCCGGATCACACCCATTCCGACAACCACCATTCACTGTGACAACACTTCAGCGTTGGCATTAGCTCTAAATCTCGTCTTTCATGCTCAAACGAAGCACATTGAAATTGACTATCAATTTATACGTCAACACATTCACAGCGGCACAATTCAAGTGCAACATATCAGCACCACTGATCAGCCTGCGGACATCCTAACAAACCCGCTACCCATTAAACGCTTCGAGGAGCTCAGATCCAAATTATGCCTTCGCTCACCGGACGCTTCATTTGCGGGGGGATGTTAGCAACTGCATAATGTTACACTGCAGGAACACTACACCTCACTCAACATCAACAGCCAACGGCCTCACTCAACTCCACTCCTCTGACATTCTCTGCAGGCAACGACGCTGCAGCCAACGGCTCTGCCGTTAACGGCCTCTTCATGATGAGAAAATATACTCATCCTGCGTATATATACTCAAGCATTGTATTGAAATATTAAGCTGAAGAAATTAGAAAATGAGATATCTCAGTTCTTCAACTCCTCTGTTTTTATTGTTCATCTTCTTCTTTCTCTAACTGTGCAGGTTTCTTTCAAGTATGAGACAGATCATGATTCTTTAAGTTCTATATCTTTTTTTTCTAGTTATTCTTTTATACTCATGATAGGATATATATGTTATGATTATATAGTCCTGGGTGTATATAATTTTTGAGAATGAATATAGATGTATATATTGATATTTTAAATTATAAAATCTATTTTATTATTTATTACTGATAGATGATATTAAATAGCTATGGGTATTATTATTTATTAAAAGATTAAAAGAATAATTCTTCCCATTTAAATTCTGAGACATCACCTAAGATTCCTAAACATTTTTTTTACACATACATATTCAAGATTAGGCCACACTCTGCCATTTCTATCACTAGTATACAGGAATTAGCTAAATTAGGCCACACTCTGCCATTTTTTTTTTTCTTTACGAAATGTTCACATAGAAACTCAAGTCTATTCCATTATTCTACTTTATCTATATGTGGGTTGGATCCACATGCAAAATTAAGATGTAAAACCCACTTTCTATTACAATGAATTTTCTAGTGTACGCGCACAGCCGCACACATACATACTATATATATAAATCGTGCTAATCAGCATGACAAGGTGTAACTAGAACCTGTAAAATAGTCTGGAATGAACAAATATGTAAATGTTCAAACTCATTGTTCACAACATTATGTACATTTACAATGTCAAAAAACGGAAAAGGTATGTACAATCATTCAAGCAAGTGAAGTGCCAAATTGATCCCTGAAGCTATACATTCAACAGAAAGTAAGTCTAATGCCACATAAATTGATGCAATTTGTTCTATATTTTAAGTCTAAAAAAATGGTTATTTATCAGTCCAACATGGAGTTATATAGCAGCGTAAAGATATATTTACATGGCAGAGTGATCATCCACATACTCCAAATCAAATGGGTCCTTCAGAGGCGCCAGCTTACAAACATTTTGTATGGTTGCCAGCCATGAATCCACCTGCAAAAAGGGTTGAGAGATTCAGGAAGAATATCGTTGATTCGGATGTGCAAGTTATTCTGTGTGGTATATTTTTTTACTTGGGAGACTTCAAAATGAAACCAAACGATCACAGAAAAGAAGAAGAAGAAGAAGAAGAAAGATTGAAAATGTACAAACCTGCATTTTCGAGGCACTTGAACATTCAAATCTTAACCCAAGGGTTGTTAAAATGTAAAATGCATATCTTCTTTGTTCATCTTCGTGTAAAAAACTTGCGAGAGGCCCAGCTTCAACAATGTCGACCAACATTGTAGTATCCTGAGGACTCAAATCTGTATCAAGTGTCTTTATCTCAACACCATGAGGGAAATAGAAAATCTACCGCAAAGGAACAAATAAAGGGAAGTGCATACGATTTTCTCAAGATCTACACTATTATAGACCTGGTTAGCAACAAAATAAAACATAAAAGTGAACAAATAAATGGCAGTGAATAAGATTTTTCTAAAGATATGACATTATTATAGACCAGGTTAGCAACAAAAGAAACTGAGGGTGGAGTCATTTTTTCGCTGAAGTAGTTAAATAACAAGGATTCTACAGCAACCTGGCAAGTTTGTCCAATCAGATATTGAATTTCTGCAAGCATCAGCTGGTCAAACAAAGCAATTGCATCCTGAACTAATGGAATTAGAAGAACTTGATTAAGTAGCACTGACATCAAACCGTAAATATCCATCCATTTCTTTCTCTCCAACAATACCTATATTCTGATTTCAGCAGCATTCTGTAACGAAAATTGGAAATAGATTCTGCTGTGCCATTTTGACTCGTTTTGTGATAGTATTTTAATGTTAAAGAACTTGTGAACATTTTCGAAATCAATGTGCAGCTAGGCAAATGAGAGTATGTTAAACTTTCTTAAAATCTGATGAAGCATTAAGCCAAAGTATAGTGCAATGTAAAATGAGTCAAAAATAGCTAGAAACTATGATCAATATCTCACCCTGCTGGCGGATTTACTGTGAGGAGCTCACATTTTTTCCACTTATGCACTTTCTTCCAACATTACTCGTTATTAGTGGCATTGTCATTTATTGTGTTATCCATATCTTGTTCGAATTCAAGAATTTGTCACTCCCTTCCAAATTTGGATACTTTCTTTGTGAATTGGGCAAACATCATCGTATCATATCCATCATCCACTACTAGTTGTCTCCTTCCTTTAGAGTTAAATTGGGGTTCGATTCCTATTTTGAACAATCAGGATTTTGTCTTTTTTTTTTAACTATATTAATTATTATTCTCAAGTTGCATACGGCTATATTAATTAAAATTTTGGTCAAAAGTTTTTGATACTTTCTTTAGAAGTTTTATCCAAAAACTAACGTTCAGTTTTCTACTTCATCAGAAGTTTTGCACGTTAATAATGCTTCAAAATACATGCAAAGCTGATTTTATAATTTTTGTTTTGAAATGGCATTATCCATCAAAACAGATGCCATATATCTCTCAACAAAATGGAGTAGCAAAATGTAAAAATCATCATAGCCTCAACGCCGTCGAACACCTATGTTTCACATGAATGCCAACCAATTTTAGAGATATATAGTCCTTACTGCAAGCTATCTTATTAATTGTATTCCCAAAACATTTCTCAACAATCAATCATCCATAATCATTTTTTCTTAATATGCCTATTTTTACTCTTATTCTATAAATGTTTAATTTTACTTGTGCCCATTTATTCTTTGGGTACTCTCAAACTCAAAAAAGAATCTATATGTTATAACCCCCTTAATAAAAAATTGTACACTTCAGCTAATATAACATGTAATTAGAGCACCACTTAATAAACTTTTATTGATCAGATGTTGAAGGCCTGACGCTCACCAATCATTGACACTAGTTTATGGTCGATTGAACTCCCCTCCATCTTGAAGAATGATTAAGTCAACCACTCACTATCACCTGACCTCCACTATCCCTTGTGTACTATCACTCGAAGCTTGTTAACTGTCTTTCAATGCTCACTAGCCATAGCCAACTTCAATACCTCCAGACTCCTACAAGTATCGTAAAAGACGACTCACAATTTAATTATATTATATGGTATTAACACCTTCTTCGCCTACAAGAAAAAGCTTCCCTTTGTACTCCATGATTTACACCAGTGGAACCATTCAATTGGGCTATGCCTATGTTTTTTCCTTCTCCCGAGTTTTTCATGCAAAAAAAAAAAAAAAACCATATATATGTAATGTGCTAATTTAACTTATCTGTGTGTGTGAATTTTCATATAATCTTGAAATGTTTAAATCACATCTAACTCCATGAAAATTCCAATACGTAACAACCACCACTATCCTCTAACTACAACTCCCACTTTACTTCCATGAGAACAAGAAAAGGATAAAGGGTACAATAAGCCACATTAACATTTAAATGATGTAAATATAACTATAGATGATGGAATAGACCTATCTGTTACATTCAAAAAAGTTAGGACGTATTTTTGCCTATATACTTGCATACTTTTATATTGCAAGCCTTGATTCATAAACCCGTAGTCCAAACCTTGAGGACCTAGAAGTAATTATCTACAACAGATTTATATCTTGGATGTAAGTTATGCATTCGAGATATATCCTTTACATTTTTTTTTCTCTTTCTTATGATGGTGGGGTGGTGCAGCAGTAGAGAATGTTTTCCGAGTGATGTACCATTACAGAGTGCTTGTTTCAAGTTTCAAGCTGGCTCTGTGTCGGACCAGTGTGGTGCTCCTAATTACTAAAATAGGTCGAAGTTAAACTTGACCAACAATACTTGACTGTTTATGATTAGCAGAGGTATTGGAAAAGATCCCATCCGCCTAGTCAGTTATGAAATTTCATCCTTCGGTTATGGAGCCAATTCCAAAATAATTGAGATTGTAGAAATGCAGAGAAATTAATAACTAATCAACAAAGAGGATTTTAAATCATTGAAAACAAGTTTTAAGTTTTGTTTGGGATGGCTTTTTTATTGCTTCTTAAAGCAGCTTTCAAGCACAAAAAAAATTTAACTTTTATACTAGAAAGTTGTTCCAAATGAAGCCTTAGAAAGCTAAGTCCTCAAGAAAGTGATATAAGCAACTTTCTATAAGGGACACCCTATAACAAAAGGCATTGTGAGACTTCAAACTAGAAACTACGCCATCAATCATGCTTAGCATTTTATGAAACCAGTACAATAAGCTGTCCAAATTTTATGAAACCTGCCAACCGCACACAATCGTATCCTTAAGAAATTTCTATCAATGGCATTGAATTTAAAATAAAGGACGTCATAATCATCATCATTAACCTTTACTCAACATCTGAATGAAGATTACTTAATCCTCAATTTTCAATTCATTTATGTTGTATGCCACATTAGATGCTCACTGAGTCATAAGAGTTATTACCAGTAGATTTAAGGTAATAGAAGATGCATTGTCCATGAAGCACAACAAATCGAGGCAGCCAATCATTAACTTCTTCATCATCTAAGATAGGTGGTTCCCCGGGAAGTTCCGGCCATCTCTAGATGTAGAAATCAAATTATCTGGACATTAGCAAACGGTATAGACAAAACCTGTAAATTAAAAATAAATAACTACGAAAGAGATTATACAGTTCTAATATGCAGATATCCCGAAAGTTGTGCAACTTTCAATAGTTCATCTATATGTTCCAACCTACATCAAACAAACAAAATATCTCATTAGATGTTTTTCAATGCAATTTTTCCTTTAAACCACAAACACGAAGGAATGGAGAGGAAAATGTTTTGCGGAACCATTGACGAGGGTAAGGGGCCTATTTCTATTTCATGCCTCCATTTGAATTATCCAAGTAAATCCAAACTTCTATTACTAAAATAATTTGAAAATAGATGAAAGAAAAAGAACTATCAAATACTATAACTATCACAAAATTGGAATGTAGCTAGTACTGGAAGATTGAAAAATATGAAATCATGAAGGGCTGAACCATAATAGTAATCGAAGCAGAGATCAAAAGGTGGAGGCCGATTAAGCAGATACTCAAATATGAAACCAAACTAAACATAGATTCAAATACATAATAGTCCTCAAACTATACATAGTAGGTAATACCAGTTGTATTAAAGCCCATAACAATTACTTGCACAAGAAAACTGTACGAGCAGGAGTGAATAAGAATGTGTTCACCCTCAAGAAAATAGGTGTGAACCACGCTCTTATAAGCTTAAGGTCTTTATTTTTTTGAGGTAGATTGAATTTTAAATTAACCAGATTTCTCCTGAGAGTTATTTCATGGCTTATTTAGATCTGGGCCCTACTTCCTATGAGCGCAAGCCCTCATAGTTAATTACCCCATTCTAACACGTAGAAGAGCACTCTCGATTAAAAATGAAATTATATTTAGTCTGTACATGAAGTGTAGATATATGTGCAATAGTGTGTGAATGTTTTAAACCCTGGTTGTGGGAGATGAAGGTAGACCCGATCAAGATCCCATGATTCCGTGATCCCGAGAATACCGACCATTGAACGTAGTGTCCAGGGAATATGATTAGCAGCCATGGGTTACCTCTTTTCAGGGATCCCGAGTAAACTGAAGTGGTTAAATGTGGGTTTTATATTGGTTATGGTTTGGAGCTCATGTCTATTAGATTGTCCATTAATTTGTTTAGTTTAGCGCTTATGGCCTATCGTTTGAGGTTATCAACATCATTATCCCTGCATTGTCGTCCTTTTTATTTTGAGTCCTTTGTATGAGGATATGTATAATCTTATGTTCTTCTTCTAAAGTTAATGAATAACTACAATTGAAATTCCAGCTTTTGTGTTTCTTGGTGAGTTTGTGAGTTTTGGAGAAGAGCCTTGGAGAGGCTAAGCGTATTACCCAACAACCACCCTCGAGTGAGTTCTTGGTTCTCTAACCTTTCCCCCACTTTTCTCTCCTTTGTACCCATCGGCCAAGGATCACCACCAAAATCCCACCAGCCACCTCTTAGCCGCCACTTCCCCAACCCACCGCCGACCAAATAAGAGCCTCCCTCCCCAACCACACCACTTACCCCCACCCCCAACCGCATCACTTTCCCCGCACATCCACCCGCCGTCCTCCTCCCTCCACCCTCACCTGCCGGCCGCCCCCTCCCCCTAAGCCTTTCCCTACTTTGTTTTCTTATTTCCTAATATAGATTTAATATAATTAGGATTAATTTTGAATTCAAATCCAAGTAATTTGAAATTCAAAATCTTTCCTAAAATATGAAATCTATTTTAGGAAGGTCTTTAAACCTCATTCAAATCAATCCTCAATTGAATGAGATTTAATTTATCTTCCCTAATTTAAGTTTCCTTATTAAAGCAAGCAATAAACACTTGCCATAAACACCTCCCCCTCCTTATTGCCGCCGGCCCCCCATATTAAATCCCATTGGGATTTATTTCGAATTCTCCCAAAACTCTCTTGGAAATAATTCCTAATTCCCCTCCACCACTCTTGACTGAAATTTCTTAATCCTCTACACCCCTTCTTTCCAAAAGCAAGCATTGAGATTTGGAAACAAATCCCCTAAACCCCTCTCATACCCACCGCCCCTACCTTCCCTCTCTCCTCTTTAATTAAAATTACACTCCTAAGGATTAATTAGAGGATTGCTTGACACCTTTCCCTCCACTTTAATTTCCCAAAATCTGAACCTAGTTCCCCCAATCCACTCCCCCTTGGCCGGCCAATCTCTCTTGCTTTCTCCTACTTGAATTCTTGAGAGAAATCTCTCTCTTTCAAAGGAGAAACGACAAGGACAACAAAGGGAATTTTCCTCCAACTCTTTCGACGCAACGAGATCGATGCATGGCCAATCCCGATCTTGATTACGGCCTTGCCTACGACGAGCAATGCTTCGTGCACATCCTTCACTCGACTCTCGACTTTCTTTGACGTCAATTCAAATATTGACAACACCGTCGAGGAATACGTGGAGCGCACTAGATACGCTCGTGGAAGCCATAGAGGAGCAACTTGGCACCATTTAGTGGAGGATTACAACCCAACCGTGATAAAGGTTTACCAATCTTCCTTCTCTCGTATTTTCATTGTCTAACTTGCTCTTGTGGTTTGATTGATTCATGAAGATCATGTTCATCTATTTCTGCCAAGCCTAGTAATCGTAGGACTTGAGTTTGATATATATGCTTCTAATCTCATTGTTAGCGTAGGGATTTGTTTGAATGCTACTTAATTTGCATGTTATTGATATTCTACATTATTTTGATGAATCAAGCATGTGGCAAGCGGCTTAGCCTAAATGTAGGCACCCCTTTCTTGTTTTATTTTATCGTTTTAGATTGCTAACAGCTTTAATCATAATTATTTTTATCAAGGAATCGTGCAAATTCTTATTACATCCATTTAAAAGTATCCTAGTCCTGCATCAATTAGGAGGGGAAATAAGAAGAAAATTAATTAGGAAAAGATTTTCTAATAGAATTCAATTAGGAGAGGGAAACTATTAAGGAAAGAATGTTGTTTTGGGGGGAATTAGGAGAGTTATGGTTGATCCTAGGGTTTATTTTAATTATGTATGTTTTTTTCCTTAGAGAGTTCGTAGCGGCATCTAGGTCTTGTGGGAGAGCCGATCTACCTCTCTAATTATAAATCACATGTATCTTGTTTTCGCATTAAAAAAATAATACAAAATCAACCACCATTTGGGATTTCCTGCAGCTTTCCTAGTGATTGTTTGTTGTTTTTACATTGGAGACGTATCAGATTGGCTAGGGATTAACATGATTTACTACTAGGATAAGAACTTTGAGATTTTAATTGAATCATAAATTAAGTTGATTTTTGCGCCAACCATATCCACTAGCATAGATGCGGAGTTTATAAATAATTGTCTTAAGGCGTGTGATTCCTTCGATCTTGTGAGTACAAGTTGGATGTATAATTCCTTCAATCATGATAAAGTGCGACTAGCTAATTATGGAAAAAGTCATCATTTTGTACCAACGTGAGACCTAATTTTTGTTATTTTGATATTATATTCATTCTATTTCACCTACATAATTTGATATTAAATTGTTTAGTGCTTTCAAAATTTATCAAAAATTAATATGTAGGAATTCCAATTTGTGGCAATTAAAATCAATTTATTGCAAAATGTATTTGTTTCTCATTGATATTCTCATATTATTTTGATCGTATTATTATCAATTGGGTTATATTTTTGAATTAATTGGTGGCTTGTAATATAGGAAACTTTAATTTTCTCTGCATGAAATAATACCACAAATTTATTAGAGTAAACCATGAGTTATCCTGCATTTCATTTCTTAATGATCCTGCCACTGCATTTTACTCAATAAACCTATTCAATTTTTGAGCATGCAAGATGAAAGAATAGGGATTCAATTATGTAAATGCCCTCTAAATGGAATTTTGAAGGTAATTGATGTAGAAAAGCTAGAGAAGGGATTGCGAAAGGGTAGATTTCTGGGTACAAAGGAGGGATGATTAAAAATAAAGAAAGAAGATAATGTACCAAAATTGGTTGGGTGCAATTTGATAGGAAATACTTGATTTCAAGTATTCCCTAATCACTTTAGCAACAAATCTCAAAGCGAGCTGCTGTCCACAGCAGGAAATCAGCCAAAAACAGTAGAAAAATAGAGAAATACTGCATGAGATGAGGAGAAAACGCTTGTATTTTACTAGTAGACAATGAAAATAGCAAAGATACAATTTGTTCTTCAATTCGAGAGGAAGAACGTACTCTCCAAAGTCTCCGGCGAAGCCAAGAGCCCAAAACAAAACCTAGATCTCAAAGAGAAAACTCAAATTCAAGATGATCCCAATTTCCCCCCCAATCTCCTAATTAAATCAAAATAATCATAAAGGACAATAATGGATTTTCTAAAACAGTCCCCTCATTCAAATTCTCCCTCCCAAATCAAAATTAATCCCACGTGGGGTCCACAAGAAGCTCCGCCTCTTGCTGCCGTTTCCGCCCAGTCCGTCGCGCGTAGCAGTGGACCGGTCTCTGTTGGACCGGTCCAACCGGCCCATCCTGGGCCGGTCTAACACAATTCCAACAGTTTCTTCAACCATAGGAAGGAGGCAAGAACTTTCCATCCAGGAAAGAAGATCAATCATCAATATATCACTTTCCTAAATAATTGTTATACAAGTTTACTTTTTGGTATTACATGACTGCAATGTGACTAGATTCAAGAAATCTATAGCATATTAAAATATAAGAAAAGGAAGATAATATGATTCTAATTGTTTTCCTTGCCAAACAAGAAATATTAAAATATAAATATCATGCGTAAAGATGAATGAAAAAATTAGAAACATATAAAAACGTATTGGAGAAAAAAAATCTGATAAATGCTGCCTTGTTTAACTTGGGCTAGTTATTTATATGCGTATATATTGACTTCGTGCAACTTAGCAGGAACATGGATTACGCAATACAGCCTAGCTTCTTTTAGAGTAACCCTGTTTATTGTTGACACACAGAAACGACTCGCAAAAACGAGAAGAGGTAAATGAGAATCTAACAATCTGGTTTTACAGCATAAACCAATTCATTGTTTGACTTTGCACTATGAGAAATTTATACATTGAGTCTAGAGAATACAAATATCTTTCTTAAAAAAATCATCCAATTCAATTTTTTTAACTTCACCTAAAATCC